CATTTGTGACCCCGTATGTGTTATGTTAGCCCCGCTGTTTTAGCCCTTTTCAGTGTGCATTTTTTGTTAAAGTAAATTGTATTTTATCTCTTCCACGTCTTTATTTGTTGTTCCTTATGTTACCTAATTTATAAAAAGGACCAAAAAAATAAAACCTAAAGAAAAACAACCAAATATGGAGGAAGTACATGTTTTAGCTGACAGTACACAAGTAATGGCTTGTTTGCTTTCAGAGTCACAGCTGCTGAGCAGCAACAGGTTAGTCCGTCAGATCCTTTTTTTCATTTTTCATGCTAAAAGAAAGCCAAGAAATAAGCTCCAAACATTTAAACTTTTCCATTAGCCTAAGTGATGATGCTGATGACATGAGCTAAATGGCTTTAGAAAGAGGGATAATGACTGCAGCCTGCGGTTTATTCACTTAGCTTCACTTTTAAACCACAGCGTACAGACGACAGACCATCAGATAGCTGGTGAGGAAATGTGAGTGGATTATTGATCCCGGAGAGAATGAGTAATTCCCCTTCCCACAGGAGCCCCCAAAGCTGCAGACGGACACACTAATGAGTTATGAAAGCATGACGATCTCTCGATTCAAGTGCTCACAAAGACAAGACAAAAGCATGTAGATATTATTATTAAAGACTTTAGAAAAATTAAATGAAAGCCTTTAGGTGATCTGAAGGTGAACATTATTTACTCAAAATAAGATGCGTTTATAGCATTTCTTTTACTCATACCAGTCAAAACATTCAGAAATAAACATAAAGATGTGGAATTAGACCCATCTGTTGTTGCATACTGATTTGACCAAGAGTATTTTTTTTCAGCTATTAAAGCACAATTATATTCATAATAATAGTTTATAACCAAACAGGCTGACCTTCAATGCCTGTAAGAACACCAACCGGGCACTTTATAGTCAACACATAAGGTCACATGCAGCGTACCCAGCATCCTTTGCACCATAGGGGACATAACTGGGACAAGTGTCAGACCGTTTGCAGGCTGTTTAAATCTAAAATATTACATAACATGACAAACAAGATAAAACATATTTACGTTTCAACCGGAGGAGAAAAAAAACACCTCAGAAATCCAACTGACAGTGTTAAAGGGGCCATAGAATGATTATATAGGGTATTTATTTGGACTGAAAATGGCATATTTGCTGTTCTATGAGCCCTAATGCAAGCCTGGTTAAAAGCCCCAGAATGAAACAACAGGTTTTCTTCCTTTTATGGTATGATCATGAATATTTAGATGAGCTGTGCTCTGATTGGTTGGTTTAAAAGCGAAGCTGTTCAGCAAAGACGCATCATAGCAACAAGCACTCACTCACTGAAAGATTTAAATTGTTGATTTGGTAGGGTGACCTGATGTCCCCTTTTTGCTGGACATGTCCTACTTTTCATATCGAAAGAAAAAAAATGTCCGGCCACAGCGTCCACGAACACACCGGGCACTCGAACCGAGCCGTAAGCTCCGGGGCTGGTACGGGACCCCGGTGGAAGGGGGCAGGGAGCCAGCTGGGGACGGAGCGACCAAACCCGACCCGGTGACAGTAGCATGGACACCGGTGGCCCTGTGCTACCCCCCGCCTGCCCTAGCATTTTTATAGTATTGCTATAAAAAAGCTTAGCGACAGAATCATACTTCCAGCTTGCGGTTGTGATGGCCTTACGGTCAGAACAGCCCCTCATTTCAGTAAAAGAAGTTTAGCAAATCCTGCTTTGAACTGTCCAAGATTTTAAAAGCTGTCTTCGGTAAAATGCTTAGAGCAAATGAACAGCTGAGCATCAAACTTTGCAGGGATCTTCTAACAGACAAAAATAATCCATTCCTGTCTAGTCTTCAGATCCTTGGAAAGAAATTTCCCCTTTCTCCGTGCAGCCTGGAACTCTGCATTTACGCCCGTGATTCTGGCTCATTTTCAATAGAGAAACTGCCTGCTTTGTAATTCCTGTAGAAATAAACCCAACTGTAGGCTAAACAGCTAAACTGGTGTCTTACATCTACCTCTATTCATTTTCTTGGGCCAGTGAACCAGTGGGCTGGTCTGTATGTCAATTTCAGGAAGTGACAAAAGTAAAGGCCAGAACCAAAAAAGGCAACATCCCAGAGTTAACGTCAACTCAGGGCTTCGTTTGGATTCGCCCGTTTTATGGTGGAAGTTTAGAATTGTGAGATTTGCAGAGAAAGGAGGATTCGATGGGGTTTGAACTTCTCTGTATGTCCGTTTCACCCACTGAACTATCGTTATTCATCTATGACAATGGAAACTCGGTTTTGCATTCTATGACCCATTTTTGCTTCAAAGGAGAGAAGCAAGTTTCAAAGGTTCACGGCAACTTTTACCTTTTGAGGACCTGTCACTCGCTAGTGAGCTAGCTTTATTTTGGTACTAACCTGCTGATCTCTTCTGCTTATATCCCAAAAATGGATCATTATCCAATAGTCGCTTAAACTATTAGATCCAACCTAGATCCAACCTCCTGAATCAAACACAATAAGCAAACTATGAGGACAGAGACAGAAAAATGTCATACGGGAAGCAAAGAGGAGATGAGAGAGTCTGTTTGCTCTTCTGTGCTTCACTTCTTACATGTTTACAGAGGAAATAAAGCCTAATTTCACCAAAATCTACACAAACCAATGGAATCAAAGGTGTTACCTTTTTAGATAACCAGTTAGCCGAGGCAAACTGGACTGTTTAAAAACCAATTTAGAGTGGAATAAAAACTTGGAGGAAAAAAGTTTTGGTGGTTAAAGATGAAAGCAGAATGTGAAGGTTGTTCTTGATGCACAGATGAAGGAAGGTTTAGCTTAGCATCAAGAACAAGCCTGGAAACAACTGCTGTGAAATTTAAAATGAACTCAATAAATAATAGAGAAATTAGTTAATGTTTTAAGCATTCAAGAAAATCCCACTGGGTGAGCAATGGAGAGTTTATATGGATTTATGGAACTTATCTTTAAAATGCAAAAGAGGAGAAATCAGAGACGCTATGAAGTTAGTGATGAGATCCAGACCTGATTCCGTCGGCTCTGAAGACGTCTCTGCTTCGGCTGTTGGAGTATCATCATTCCCAGCCGCAGCCATCCCTTCGTCTTCTCTGGGCGCCACTTCTGGGGGACTCTGCTCGGCCTCAGCGGATGCAACAGATGGAGGGGGGTCTGACTTTTCCTCTGCAAGACAAAGAAAAGGTTAAAAACAGTTGTAATAATGATCATAGCAGAAACATTTTTATATCTTAGAACAGAACAAGTAGAACCTATAATTAATAGTTTGTTCCTAGCATTTATGTGTAGTACACATACATTTGAATCTACTACGATTAAAAACCTTGACTTACTGTAACATATCCTATTTTTACTGAGAAATAATATCTATTTGATTTGTTTTATGAAGGCTGAAATAAATCATGAACTGGATGTTTTTTTCTGAACAGGAAGCAGCTTAATGTACCAAAACTGGTGAGATTTGCTGCAAACACACAAATAATGTAAAACGTGAGAAAAGCGAATGCAGAAGAAAAACATTACAAAACAAAAAGCTCCTGATCATAGAAGCTAAAGGAAAAATTATGCAAAGACCCAAAAAATTAAATGAAAGAAAGCTGCAAACTCGCTTTAAAAAAAAAAAAAAAAAAAAAAAAAAAAAAAGGACCACAGACAACCAGGGGGAGTCGTTCAGACCATCCGTAAAGTAACAAACAGGATGTGTAGAAGAAAGTTAGTAGGAAGAAAGAAATCAACTCCATGTCTTTTTTTTAAACATGTGGCCGTAGTCTTGTTTATTTTCTCAGATTCCTGTATTTTCCTTCGGCAGCGTTTTTCTGTTGAATTTGTTTTTCAGCGTTTTGAGTTTGCATCATTTACGTGTTTGCAGCACCTTTGTTTGCTTGTAGCTCATTAAGCCTTTTAGCAAAACATATTTTCCTAAAAAAATATAAAATAAGATAACATCATTAAATTCAAATATAGCCAAGGTAGTTTTTTTCATTGATTGATAAATATTTTAAATACTTGAAATCAAATGTTAGTTTTTTTCAGATCGTAGCCAAGGCTCTACATAGAGTCGTGTACAGCAGCGGTCCGCAATCACCAGGCCATTATATATATATATATATATATAATTTATCGACGATCAGAGTCTGAGTGGTGTTTTATTTTGAAAAATACAAAACATTAGGGTATTATCTCCCAATTACATCAGTCGGTGCATCTGTGCCTCTTGACAGGTTAATTCAGGTCAAGACTCATCCTATCTTTGTGAAGCAGGATTTTCTGTAGTTACAGCGACCAAAACAAAGCTACGGAGCAGACTGGACATCAGGATCACATTTAATGTGTCATTGTCTCCGATTACGCTTAGATGGGAACGGTTTGTTTCGGAGAAACAAGCTAAGGGCTCCCACTAATTCATTTATTTTTATGCTGTTTGTATTTGATTTTAAGCCAGTCGTATCATTTTATTTGATTGTATTTACCCACACACTTTAAAGGGTTATAACCGGTCCATACAGGCGATTGCATCGGACAGGAAACACGACAGAACCGGGTCTGAAAGAGGCTTCAGTCCTGATGACTGGAGGAAGACATTTAATATCCTTTCTGTGGGGTCAGGACCGTAGAGGACGGCTGTTGTTGTACCTTCTCTTGGAGCAGCACATGGAGCCTGGTCAGCTGGTGCAGCAGCTCCATCGACTTCAGAGCGGGTCGTAGGGTCGGAGTCTTCAGACGGGACGGGAACGGAGGGGGGTGGTGCGGCAGGGGGTTCTGAGGTAACCGTTTCTGGCTCTGATACCGTGACGGTCTCCTGGAGGTTTACTGAAGGAGACGATACATCTATGGCTTCTCCACCCGTCTGCTCCTCCTGTGGCTCTCTTGGTCCACTGGAGCCACCAGCTGGGCTCTCCTCCTCCACCTGGTTCTTCTTCTGAGGAGGACTGGACTCGGTGCTGGAGGGCTTCAGCGGGCTCCCCTCTCCCATGCTGCTCCTGGGTGACTGCATCTCCATCTCCTCCCCCCAGTCTCGAACAGGTTTGTGTGCTTCCAGAAATATTGGGCTGAGGGGTTTTCCTCTGTCTGCCGCCTCCAGAGGAGCCGCTGGAGGAGGGATTTGGACCTTCGGCCTCGGGGTCCGCTGCTCCTTGGGGCCTGCTGCTGATTTTTTCTGTAAATGTTGCTTGGCAGAGGTGGGGGGGCTTTCTTTATTTTTGTCTCTCTTCTCGCCCCCTCTGGACTCCTGTTCAGAGTCGCTTTCTTCTCCGACGTCATCTTCATCACTGGCATCCTCCCATTCATCCTCATCATCTCCCGGCTCGCCATCATTCTTCTCCTCCACCTGACGAAAATAAACAAAAACAAAAGGAATGAATTAGATAGAAACTATTTGGAAAGTTTTAAGGAAGCAAAACCTTTAAGGACTAACCTCAGCAGGTCTGACACATTAAACCCTCCTTACCTTCTTTCCCTCCGTTTTCAGCTTGGATTTTTCCTCTTCTTCCTCTTTCTTAACTTTCTTCTGGGTAGGTTTCACCTCCCTCTTTGTCTTGTCCTCTTTTTCCTTCTCTTCTTCTTCTCTCTCTCCTTCCCAGCGGTTATCATGCATGCTATTAACAAAAAGTTCAGCATCAAAGTCAACAGAACGTCTGGAAAAGACTAAACCTTTAAACAACATTCTGTATGGGAGCTGTTCCTGACGGAGTAAACTAAAGATTTATGGCTTTGCAGCAATCACTCCTCCACTATCGTACTCAACAGTGAAGTCGTTTTTGTCAATAAGCTGCGTTAGTTTTTTACTCAGAAGCTATGAATCATGGCCATCGCTGCTTTGATCTCATCTATTTAAAGACCAATGCTCTTGTGCTTCCCTTTAAATTTATGCTGCGCTCAGCTGCCAACTTGTCAGTTTCTCGATTTACGTTTTTATGGGAATCAAACGTCAGCAATCAAACTTAATCACATTTCGCTCCAAACATTAATGTATCACACCTCCAAAAATAACTTAAAGAACTTAATCTAGATGTAACTATTGCTCTGTTTTAGTCTGTGAATGAGCATCAGGCTGTGTCAACAAGTGGCAATGTATTCTCAAGGGTCGGCTTTAATTATAAATAGGGATGTAAACAAATAACACATTGATGATTAATTGTTGATTAATTTGTTCCATCCTATTAACAGATAGGGTCAGCGTGCCACTGTTGTTTCCTAAGCAGAGCATCACTGGTATTCATATGAGAAGTAATGCCAGAGTCTGGAAATATTTACTGAAGTTAAAGGCTGAAAAGATGCATAATTAAATTTATGCAGTTATTTTTCTAAATATGAACACTTAATAAAGTCCTTAAATATCACCTAAATAGCAGCCACTTAGCCGTGCATTATGGCGGAGCAGCACCAACTTCTCTGCTCTGTTTGGAAAGTGAGGATTTGAAGATGTGGAGGGCATTATATTAAATGCTTCTCACATGATAAAAATGTACTTATATAGCGCTTTTTCAAGTCAGGAGACTTCAAAGCTTTACACCGAATTCAATCATTCACACAGCTGCCCTGGAGCTCACTAACAGAAGCCAGGCTGCCATACACCGGCGCCACCGGGCCCTCTGACCACCATCAGGAGGCAGTGCAGGTGGAGTGGTCTTGCCCACAATTCCACTGAAAGCCGGAGCCCGGGCTTGAACCGTCAACCCTTCAATTTAAGGGCAAACTCCTACACCCGACGCCTCTGTCGTCCTGACATTCTGGCAAAAGACATGCTGGCACAGTATTAGTAGAATGAAGTATTAAGGCACTTCATAGAGCCAAGTTTCAGCATTCTTCTGATATCAACCAGAACCACCTGTTTAAAAGTAGAAAGTCCCTCCCAACATGAATGCTGGATTACAATAAAAAACAGCTAAATCACAGTTGGCATCCACATAACGGAAAGAAAGCAATAAATAATCTGACAGTATGTCAGAGCCACATACCCGTCTGTTAATGATAATTCTGCATCTCTGGACACTGGAAACCAGAATTGTTTCACATATTTTTTCTTCATTTTATAATGTTCAATACATTTGTTTTGTTTATTTAGTCCATATTTAATAACTACAATATGACTACAAATTGTTGAAATATAATGACTTACTTTTTTTTCTTCATTTTTTTAAGTCAGCAGACATATAAAACCCCTCACGTCATGAAAGATCTTCCTCATACAGGAGGAAACTGATTTCTAAGACAATGGCTGCTTATCAATGAAGCATTAGATTATAAGATCAATCAACCTAAAAATTGCATTTTTAATTATAACGGAAAGGAAAGTGTTGGCAGATCAGCAGATTATCTCTTAACTAGTGATGTGTGGTGATTGATCAGAGGGACAAGAGCCATATGGAAAAAGTGGAAGGATGGCAGCCTTGGCTCTGCTAGAGGACGAAGGAAGAGAACGTTCAGAGCTCTCTGATGGGCGTACTAGTTGGTTTAAGCTGAACGATGTCATGGATGGAAAC